CAGCTGCAGCCATTTGACATTGCACATTTTCCAATCGCAGGCGACGTTCAGGCGGCGCGACACCAGCGCGCAAGACTGGGCTTCAGAGCTGATTGGCTCTACTTGCGAGCAGACGCGGCTGTGTCATTCGGTGCTGTGGTAGGCCCTGGAGCTGGCCGTCACTGAAGGAAAGTCCTAGATATGAAGGTTCAAGCCCTGCAGCGCGGCTCACCTCGTCCCCATGCTCGTTGAGGCGCTTCTTCAGGCGGAACGCCACCAGAGGCACGCCCACCTGGAGAATGGGCGCATGCGTGTGCACGCGGCGCGCACGTGTGTATGTGTATGCGTGTGTGTGTGTTCACGTACTGTAGGTGTTGTGTGTGTATGTGTTTTACACAGGTAACGGACGTGGGCCTTGCGCTCTCGCTCGGGCCCTGGCAGGGGGTCTAAAGAGAGGCCCAACCCCGAATTTTTCCTCAACGGTCCCGGCATCCCTGCATTCCTGGCTCCCGCTCAACAGGTGCAGCACACCACCCAGCCCGCCCCCGCTGCCTAGTCCCATTCCCAAGTGGCACAACTACAAGTAATCATGGAAATGCTCCTCACGTCCTTGCTGAGCATCTCGAACGCCCCTATGGCCAGGATGCCCTGCTCCAGGCGCAGCTTGATGCAGCTCAGGTTGTTCATGATGCGCGTGTATCTGCACAACCGCAGCGTTGTGATTAGACGTGGGAGGCTTGAGTTTGGGTGTGTGTGTGTGAATGTGTGTGTGAGTGATCATGTGTGTATGCGTGTGTGTTTGCGTGGACGCATTTACGTGTGCACATGCAAGCATATATGTGCATACTGTATCGGCAGGGAAGCTAGCGGGTCCAGCATGCAAAGCTGGGCGAACAACGCCTGCCTGTGCCAGGCCCGCAGCAGGTACAAGTGCGTGTCCTGCACACAAGCCCCTGCGCGCCCGCACCCGTCCCGCCCCAGGCGCAGCAGCTGGAAGTATTGCGCGATGACGTGGCTGGCCCCCCGGCTGAAGTTCAGCGTCACCGTGGCCTGAGGGGGGCGCGTTTGGTGGGGGGAGTCGTTGGGCGGCGGTGGGGATGCACGAGATCAGCTCAGAGATAGTGAGGGTGCGGCTGGGCATGTGTGCATGTGCAGCTCAGCTCAGTCCTGCTGCCTTTGAAAAACATTGAGGGCGCCTTCTCTATTATGCAGTGACAGCGACTTGCCCGATGCTGTCGCACGCAGCCATCGCCGCGCGGCTCTCGCGTGCCTGGCATGCACGCACGAGCGCCCTGCTGCGCGCGCCGCCGCCCCCGCCCCGCCTGCTTGTGGTATTCCCACCTGATCTGTGCCCAGGTAGTTGACCTGCGGTCAATGACACGGCGGCGCACGACGCAACAAATGAATAACAGTAAATGATTTGATTATGAAATTACATATGAAGGATTTGTCGTGGGTATCTGTGGTATCTTCAGAGTGATGTGGCTTGCGAATGGGGTACAGGGACGTGGTGTGGTTCGGGCCTTATCTCATTCCCCTGCCACTTTCTGAGCCCTCGTCGGTCAAACTTGTTTCGAAGGCACAACGCCACCC